GTAAATAACGAACAGCACTGTTGTTACAAAGGACTGTTCCAGTACTTGAGTCATAGCATACGCTGCAGTCTCAGAGGAACGATTCTAAAAGCACTTCATGAGCAAACGAAATTAATAAAGGTGAAGAAATCCCTTAAGTGGAGAATGCTAATGAGTACTTATACTTAATAACAGCAGGAAAATCTCATTGTAGCTGATAGCTTTAGCTTTCTGTTGTGACCCTTTGAATAGACATTTTCTGTGGAGCAGAAAAATGCCACTGAGAAGTTCTCAGGGATGTTGTTGCTCTCTCTGCTGTCACGTAAGGCAGGATTACACAACTCAGCATTTTTATTCTTTAGAGACTTACATTAATTTATTTTGACAGCATTTTCAACCCACGTAGTAGTTTAGGACTAGCTGTTTGTGCTACCTTCCTATTTTAGACAAGCAGTGCTTTGCGTGAGACTGTTAATTTGGCAAAGGGCATGGGTTCACATTTGGTTTTCATAGACTGATAGATTTAAAGGCCAGAAGAGACCATTATGATCATCTAGTTTGACCTCTCACTTCAATCAGGGCATGAACCTCACGCAATCATTACTGCAAAAAGACCAGTACTTCAGTGTGGGCTAGACAGCAGCTAAAGGAAGACATCCAGTCATGAGTTGCCTTTCTTTATTTTTTTTGCATGAATTTTTCCAACTTCAGATTCCATTCCCTGGATCATATCATTTTGTAGGCATGCAGAATCAAAATGAAACATCATCCTCAAATGTCCTTTTCAATTACATCTGTGAATCCATCTACTTGGATTTATCCCCAGATTATAGGAATATTTATGTATTGTCACACCATGCTAAATGGACAGTAAGCATTTTCTTCACTTTGTATTGTAAAAAACAGCTGCAAAGCACACATGGAATTTCAAGATCTTGAGCTAGGTCTGCATTAATAAGTCAGGAAGCATTCAGCCTGGCCTGGCTTTTTTTGAGCAGCTTGTGTCCACTGAGTTAATGTGCTGGAAGTCTGTTTGTAGAGTAAATGTGTAACTCTTGAGCTTATTCAAAAGCATCCCTCAAATTTCCAAGATTTTAGCAAAGAAAATTGGCAAGTGACAAAAGAGATAAGGACAAGCAGGTGGAATTTTCTCAAAAATTATGATCTAGCTAGGAAATGTCCAAAAACATAGTTGTAACTTAGTTAACTTCTGAGAATAGCCATAGAAGATTAGTTGGGACGAAGAAAGATAATTTCAAGGAGCTTATTCTGGAACTCATTTTCACATTAGCTCATGATAATGTGGGAATATACTTTCTTTACTATGCTGTGTAGTAGTTAGGGTGGTGCTATTGTCTGTCCATGCATGGAATAGGGACAAGAACTAGAGGAAGAAAAATCCAAGTGAATTTATTGTTAGAGTTGACTGAATTTTAACAACTTTCACGACAGTCCAGTTTTAACTTCTGCTATTTTGTACTTACCCTAATGAAACTGGGAAGACTGACATTTATTTCAGAAATCAGCTACCAGGTTATTACTGTTTAGTAAAGCATTAATATAAATTGATGTTCTTCAACAAAAGTTCAACAAAATTCTGATAATTATTTACCTATAAAGACTCCAATCTCTTGCCTACCAAACTACAATGAAACAAAGTTCAAAACTTTCCGGTTTGAGAATGACACTGTTTAAGATATCAGGAGCACATTTTTCCAAGTTACATTTGTGTATAATAGTTCTCTTCTAACTTTACAATTGACAAACGTGAAGGACGTCAGGAGACTCATCTGAAGCCATAATAATATATTGCCTCATGTTTATATTCACTGAGTAGATAATGGAATCATAGAATCACTCAGCTTGGAAAAGACCCTAAAGATCATTGAGTCCAACCACAAAATCTGGAATCTTTATGCAGCAGACTTAAAATAAAATCTACAGGTAAATAGATTTCTGTTTCAGTGAAAAATGCTGTACTAATGGCCTTTGTACAAGAAACTTTCAAGCTTTTAAAATCACAATAGTATTCCCTAACAGCTTTGAGAACATTTTTTTCATTGTAGTATATATTTCTCCCAACGTTTAGCATTTATTATGTCCAACAATACATTTGAAATTAAATGCTGCCAGGAATATACAGTTTTCATCTTACTTCTTTTGTATCAGGTATTCAATGAATATATAGGCAATAAGAGAACACATAATTATGATTTCAAGAGTACTTGCACATTTGGATCTCTTTTACAAACTGTTTTAAAGACAAAGGTTATCTGATGCTGTAACTGTATATGGTTTTTAGACTTTGCATATGAGTCTCAGCTCTGCAAAGGGCCATCTAGCAGCATGGCAAACATGACTTTGCAATTAAATGATCATTCACATTACAGCTTATGGAAATATATAAGATACAGTTCAACCTGTTCTGTAAAGAATTGCTGTTCTTGTTACACTTTGTTTTTAATGAGCTATAAAATAAATGCAATGTAGAAAGTATTTTTACAGCCAGAGCTTGTGATATGTGATATGCAAGGTTGTGCTGGGAAGAAAATGCCGAAGTTAAAAACACCGATCATGGTTCTCTGAAGACTTACATACATACAGGCATCTAAATCCTGTACTCTCTTTAATGGGACAGGACTGGCTCCGGTGTTTACAGCATCAGCCCTGGTAAATGCCAAAGTGTGTGTGGTTCAGCAGTGAAATACTGCCAGCTTCATTCAGTTGTAGCCAAATACAAGGAGTAAGAAGACTGCGTGGCTGCATAGAGGGAGAGCAAAGAAAAGAGTGTTTTGAAACAGTGTGAAATAGTCAGGAACAGTGCCAGAAAAAAAACGCACTCATTTGAAATACGTGCACAGAGACACTGGGGATATAGGACGATCATAGAATAAAATCAAAGAATGGTTTGGGTTTGAACGGACCTTTAAGATCACCTAGTTCCAACCCCCTGCTATAGACAGGGACACCATCCATTAGACTATTGCTCACAGGCCCATCTGGCCTTGAATGCTTCCAGGGCATCCACAACCTCTCTGGGCAACCTGTTCCAGTGTCTCACCACCCTGACAGTAGAGAATTTTTTTCCCAATATCTAGTCTAAATCTGCCCTCTCCCTGTTTAATGCCATTTCCTCTTGTCCTGTCACTGCATGCCCTTATAAAGACCCCCCCAGCTTTCCTGTAGGCCCTCTTCAGGTACTGAAAGACTCCCCGGAGCCTTCTCTTCTCCAGGCTGAAAAGCCCCAGCTCTCCCAGCCTGTCTTTGTAGGGGAGATGGTCCAAGCCTCTGATTGTCTTTGTGACCCTTCTCTGGACCTGCTCCAGCAGCTCCTTGTCCATCTTCTTCTGGGAGTCCCAGAACTGAACACAGTATTCCAGGTGGGGTCTCACAAGAGCAGAGTAGAGGGGCAGAATCATCTCCCTCCACCTGCTGGTTACACTTCTCTTGATGCAACCTAGTATGCAGTTGGCCTTCTGGGCTGCAAGCACACCTTGCCAGATGATCTTGAATCTTTCATCAGCTGACACCCAAAAATCCTTCTCAGGACTGCTGTCAAGCCATTCTCTGCCCAGAATGTATTTGTGCTTAGGACTGCCCCAACCCAGGAGGGGCAGAACTTTGCATTTGGACTTGCTGAACTCCATGAGGTTGGCGTGGGCCCTCCTCTCAAGCCTGTCCAGGTCCCTCTGGATGGCATCCCTTCCCTCTAGGAAGGGCCTGGTTCTGATATTCTTGTTTAGCACAGTCTAGATTGCTTTAATGGGGACTTCTTGGAGGACATTGTACAATTAGAAGGCAGAGATTGTAAGGGAATGTATAGTTGTAAAGGACTCACATTTAAATAGGTGAATAGCTATGAGGAGAAGCTTCTCACATCAACTATCCTCAGTATTTTCAGTACAAAATGTTTGCATTTGAAGTTACTAAAACATATGAGTGTTTATAGTCAGGACTGTTTTTAGCGCTTTTTTTTTTTTTTTTCTTTTTTTTTTCCAGTCTGTGTTCTGTCTGTCTGGAAACTTTGCATTTTACGCTTCCAGAAGATGGACTTACATGTAAACCAACAGCTATCACAGGATCTATGTTGAAAAGCAAAGAGCCAGTAGTTGCAAGTCCCACAGGGCACTGCATGGTCCTGGTCCCAGAGCAGCCAGATCAGGAAGCAGATCACAGCTACCATGACCACTCATAAGCTTGGATTTCCTTCCTGTGGTACAGTGGGGAGAGAGGAGGCTACACCATTTGTTTCAGGATCTCAATCTGACATGCTGTTGCACATGCAGGATGTAGCCTGAGAGGTAGAAAGCTCCAAGCTCACAAACTGTGGGATGCTTATTTGTGGCTGTAATCAGCAGATAAAGACAGGCACAAGCCACGTATCGTCTCTAAAGAATAATTAGTGAAGGCACAATCAGTGCGTAGATTCTTCCTTCTTGTACCTGGCAATGGTGGCTTTCTTTAGATTTATTTATTCAAAAATCAGACTCCAGGGAAGTAGAGAATTAAATCATTTAGATTAACTCCTCCCTCAGCACTGTGAATTCTAAGGAGCAAGTGCTGACACACTGCTGGGCCGTTACAAGTTGAGTCCCAAAAGAGCATGTGCTAGAAGGCCTCATTTAGCAGCAGGTTTTTAAATTCAGCTGTTAGATTGAGAGCAGGGAACAAAATAAATGGTCTCAGATGAAGTTTCATTTTTTTAATTGGCAAAGTATTTTCACCTTCCTGCTTTTCTCCTTAATCCTCTGTTTCTGTCCCTGACTAAATCTTAACCTCGTTTTCAGTAGGTCCTCAGAAACTATTTTTTTATGAACTGACACTTACCTTGAACTTTCTGCTTTTTTGCCTTGCCATGCTTGATGTGTGTACAAAACGTCTAACAGTGTGCATCAAAATGAATGTCACATGTTTATTCTTTTGTCATTTCATAATTCAGATTATGAAAATATACCCCTTTTCAACTGTTTACCTTTAAATTCTTCAAAATACTAATTTGTTCTTTTCTTTCTTATGTACAGCAAAATTTGGAGAGTAACCTCACCAACCTTATTAAGAGGAATACTGAACTGGAAACTCTTCTGGCAAAACTCATTCAGACCTGTCAACATGTAGAAGTGAGTACTGACCTGCATTTGAAAAACTTGTAAATTGAATTACATTCACTTTAAGCTTTCAGAAAAGTTTTAAACGAAATCATAACAAGTACAAAACTAAGTTAAGGTCATGATAAACAGAACTTTTTTTTTTTTGGACCTTATTCACTGTTAAATGGTATTCCCATTATAGCTAATCCTCTTTTTCATTCCTGTTCCCTTTAAATTACTATTGTATGTTTGCTTGACCATCAGCACTGCTAAACTTGGGTATACCACTCAATATCTGTAAAATGCTTATCTGCTTGGCTTCTTTGCAAGGCAGAATAATATGTACTGATGGAAAACTAAGGCAAAGAAATAGTAAGGCCCAGATCCACAATGCTTTCTGTCTGCCACTGATTACTTTTAAAATCAGAATTAAGTATCTAAATACAGATGAGGCCTTCAAAAGTCATGTAAGAAATATATTTTTCTTCCAAAGAAAAAAGATGCCTACAAGTCTTTGAGTTGCCTGAGGATAGCACAGTAAGGAAGGACCTGGATTCAAATTACCTCCAAATCTAGAGGATACTTTAGATGGCCCTGTGGGGACTGCTGCTCTACATGAAAATTAAAATTATCACAAATTTAACAATGGGAGCTTGCATAGGAAGAAAAGAGAGTCCAAAATAAACTCTGTTTTAGCAGAAGTTGTCTTTTTACATTTTTCAACTCTATGAGACCTTCTCAGTTTCTTAAAGTATAATCCGGTCAGTGAAGCAAAAACCACCATGAACAAATAGCTTCCATGTTATAAAAACTTGCAGAAGACAGCATGAAATACTGTCATTTTGCTTTCTGTCATTAAAATTGTACAAATATCCCCATAGCGTCAAAGTGGTCACCAATGCTTTCCTTGTGGTCAGTCTCAGCTGTGAGTCCCAAGTGACACACTACATATAAAACATATAAAATATATTTTCTCCCCTCCTCCGGGAAGATTGTTGATGAAGAATTCTAGGAGACCAGGGAAGGCTCAACCTCATGAGGTCCACATGTTTCTTGACAGATATGAAATTCTTTGAGATACACTGTGCTAATGATTTGCAGTGCTGTCAGTTTTAGTAAGTGCTAAACTCAATTTTAGATGACGTGGGGCAGAAATCAGAGAACACAAAATGGAGAACCACAACATAAATAGTGGTGGTTTACACCTCAATCACAGAGAAAAGGTATTTTCAATTGAGCACCTAATTGTTAGCCAGATTAGCATAGCAAACTTATTTTTTTCAGAGAAGAATCTTGGGGTTTTGTTTGCATTACAGTATTGTCTATTGACAGGCTTCAACACAGGAATATTTCATTCCTGCCTGCATTATGATTACTGCAGCAACCTTATTTATTCAGAGAAGAGTATGCAGCATATGCCCAGCTGCATATAATAACAGTAATGTTGAGTATGGCCGTCCATACATGCAAAAGGAAGCCAGGTTCTTAGTCAGCATTACCTGGAGAATAGTCCTCAGGAATTTGGGTGAGGAAGGTAGCCTCAACCCAGAGCTTTGAGACAGAAGTACGATGGGCAGAAAGTTAATTCTGACATACATTGCCTTAACACAGCCACCTGCCAGCTCTCTGTAGGACTTCTTTTTTAGATCAAAATTCAGTCACCTAACCAGGCCCAAAAGCAACTGTTGCTTGTGAGTGGTTTCAAAGTCGTGTCTTAAAAAATTCATACTTATAAACAGTGGCAATGGCAGATGTTGAAGCAATAAAACCAAACAACAACAACAAATAAACTAAAAAAATACAGGACTGATATTCCAAAGAGATCACCCCATCCATTTTTCTATCAGCTAGTTGGCCTGTCACCCCTGTGCCACTCGGTAGAATGGGGCTCTACAAAACCATGAAAGTTATCACAAGATTAGACTTGAGGTAGTGGATTTGAGCTCTTTATAATAAACAGCAGTAACATCATACAGAATAAACGTAGCATTGGATGGGATCTGTTGCAGATAGTGAAAGATAGAGATGAGACACATTTTCTTCCAATATATATATAAAACTCAGAGCAAAAAGTATGAAGCAGATGAGCCCAGGACAGCATAAAGCCTCTTCTACATTAATGGCATATATCCAAGATATGCTAGATATAGAAAATTTTAAATTGTTCCACCTCCTCTGCACTATATTTCCAGCTGTAAGCTTTGCTATTACAAAAAATCCAACTTGTTCAACTTGTAACAGATGTGCTACTGTCCCTTGAGTCCTGTTTTAGCAAATTTCTCTGTAGATGTAAAGAAATAGCAGCAAAGATGTTAATAAATTCCTACCACGTCTTATTCTTCAAATTAATCTAATTAGCATTTAAATTAGCTGAATATTAAGAAATGAGCTTCAGTCAAAACCCTGGACCTAAGCATCACTGGAAATCAGGCAAGTGGGGATGTAGAAGTAAACTCTAAGGCTATCTGTTTTTTCCAGAACTATGTGAAAACTTCAGATATGATGCGAATATCTCAAACACATGAGATGCTGAGACTTATATAGAATTTAAAATTCAGTGTGCTCTTCTTCTTTGTGCTTCTTCTATACCAAAAATCACCCAAATAAAAATAGAGAATGAAACAAACAATATGCTGTTGTAATGTTAATATTAAAAATACAAAATTAGAAAATATGTAGAAAAGCATAAGTTTCCAATGATTATATTAGTGTTGCCATATGAACTCATTAACTGGTTGAAACTGAGCAGGCAGTTAGTTTTATAGGGGAGGTCTCACACTTTTCTTCTTTTTTGATATAATATATTACAGATAATGATATAAAATATAGTTAATGCCATTTTTAAGCATTTAAAAATATAGGTAATGCACTGTAAAATCTGCTAGATTGACATTACCTAATTTAAAATTATTTTAGTGCTGGTTTATATTTTCAGAGTTAAAACCCAGCAAAAGAAGCCTGGGGGGTTTTATGCCAAATAATGTGAACTTTGAAAAACAAAGAAGAAAAGGAGGTTACTGGTCCTTGTGTTAAAGTTACCCAACTTTTATTAAGGGTACATCAAAAACAATTGTTCTAATTAACATGTGTTTGTAGAAACTAGAAACAAACGCTGACTTTTTAAAAAAGCATATATCGTCTCAGGAAACAAACAAAAAAGCCCCAACACTGACACGAGAAAGGAAAAATGAATGTCATTTTTGGCTTTTGATATGGACCAGGAGCTGATGTTTCTTAAAATGAACAACAAACAGACCATGTGTCTTTTGCAGAAATGCATCCGCAGCAGCCAAACCAAATGTTGTTACAGTGCCACTGTTTCTCATCAACAAAGTGTGCTGCTGATGGCTTCCCAGCAACAGACTTATGGCAGATTAATTATTTACCATACATCCTTCTCATCAGACGATTGTAACTTCATCTATAGCAAAAACTAAATCCTGTCACTCCCTGTCCTAAAACTAAAGCTTGTTCTCTTCAGAAAGAGAGCCATTTTTACTTTTCTCTCATATTAGCAGGCAGGAACTGGTCAACAATGTGCACTCTCTGGAAACTGGATGATTTCCAGCAGCTAGGGAGGGGGCTCGGGAGCTGCCTTTCGTCACAGCAATGGGGACGTAAATCTTAACTATTTTTAGATGGACCTCATCAATTTGTGACAAGATTTATCCTGATGTGGGATCTAATCTTGAGAGACTGGAGGAGTCCACTTCCAGGCTTGGGTTCCTGTGAGTGGTTTTGGGCCTATCAGCAGGAAAAGTTGGGTGAATAAATCAAGCCAGACTTGTCTTTACTGCTTTAAGTGAAACTGAGACATTATTAAGTGTTTTATAAAATCTGGATGACTGACTTTGTGCCCGATATGAAAGTATAGTCTGTGCTAACACTTAGTTTATGGTAACACTTAATTAAAAAAATCCCATTTTCTCAGTGGGAGCCACACCCTGAGAACTGCACACTTCAGACACTTAACATTCTTTTTTATCCCAATTCTTTCTTTTTATTTAGGAGCATACAGGCACACTGATTTTACTCACTTTCTAGACTCGTTCCTGACATGTTTTCTTTTACACTTGCTTTTGCACTCTCCGTTCCTCTGAAATTCCATTTGTCCTTTCTTGATTTTCCTGAAAATTCCAAAGCTGTTCATCAGGAAAGTTTTGTTTTCCTTCCTTGGAGATAATGGCAGGTCTACAACCTCACCCTTGGCCAGGCTGCTTTCAGCATCTTTCCACAGCATGTGAGGGGGTGCAGGGCCCCAGAGTCCCAGTATTCCTCCTCTGTGAGGATTACCAGGCATGGTTGTAACAAATGGTAGGTTGATTCATATGATAAAATGCAGTTTTCTGTGCAAACTGAGAAGATTGAATAGAAATGACTTCTAAACTTCAATATAATGATTTCATAGAATCATAGAATGATAGAATCATTTGAGTTGGAAGGGATTTGGAAAGGCCATTTAGTCCAACTCCCCTGCAATGAACAGAGACATCTATAGCTAGATCAGAGTGCTCAGAGCCTATTTGTAGTTCTAGTTTGCAGTTTTTATACATCTTGTAATATCTGTAGAAAACCTGTAAATAAAGCACTAAAACCAGTCCCGGTAGATTATTACCTATAAATTCCATGGACATTCACCCAGTGAGGGAGCCCTCTAGCATGTGGTTAGATCAGCATGTGTCTCTAAAGAGTCCATAAAAACATCTGTGTGTCAGGAAAGCAGCTTTGTTTTGCAGCTATGGGGAAGATGGCTGGGGAAAAGAAGTTAAATGGCATACATTAAGAGCGCATGTATAAGCTCTTTACAACAGCTGAGGCTCTAGCTGGAGTCCCACTGCTGCAGAATTTTTCTGGTAAGTGAAATTTCTTGCAAGAACCTTGGACAAATCTTCTAAAACCACCATTGTAAAATTGGAATTGCCAGTTTGCAAGGCACTTTGTTGTTAGGAAAACATGAGTTTGCTGCAAGTATATTAGATCATGACAATAATAGATATTAGGCACAAATTTGAGCATGAGACTCTTCTGCC